TTGAGAAGAAATTTGACGGGAAGGAGGAGGATGCGATGAGGTGGATCGTGATGAAGATGAGTAAGAATACGATGAAGTTTAATTACGGGGTGCAGCTGGAGGTGGGGAAGGGGGCCGAGAGGGGGAGTTATGTCGTGAGGTTTTATTGGGATGGGAGGGTGTTTGATCAGCAGGGGGCGAGAAGGGCGGTGGAGTTGTATGGGAGGGTGTTGGGGGAGTTGGGAAAGGGAGAGAAGATTGGGGATTTGGATGTGGAATTTGAATAGATTAGAGGGGAGATGGTGTTGTTCTTTTGTCATTGATTTTGGGTTGGGCGTTCATAGGGTTGTTTTTCGGGGGGTGTATTAGAGTTAGATCTCAGATTGGATATTGTCGTTATTGTCTTTGAGGAGTTTGTTAGATTCTTGATATAGATGAATTTGATCATAGTCTATACTTTGATATACTATTCCCCTTTATTCAGGTTTACTAAAGTCAGATATATCAGTCTCAAAGTTAAAGAAACATATCTCAGTTCTGTAGAGGGTTCATATCTAGATGAAGGCGCATTCAACGAAACTAATCTGTATATGACCATAAAATCCTTATATTGAGTCAGCTATCACCTATTTCACTGGTGAAGATCAAACAAAATCTATCATACTCGACCATTTCTCACAAATTCATAACACCCAACCCTACATAACATACTCAGCCTAACCGTCAACATACAACAACCACCCCACCTCCCTACCAACCCTATAACAAACCACCGACTATACAAACACTCCCAAAAAATAAAAGTATGAACATATATCTCATTTAATCTAAAAGTATACTAAACCCCCAAGCCAAGAGAAAATGACAAACTACTTCCTCGCCAAAAACACAAACCGCCTCACCTTCCACGCGACACCCCCTCTCGCCTCCACCGCCGCCTTCTCCAACAACTCATTCAACTCTCCTTTCTCCTCCCCAGGCACCTTACTAATCAACTCCCCAAACAGACCCAGATAATTCATCTGGTCCAGAATAAGCGTGTACGTGCCCGGATGGCATTCATCGCGGAGAACATCACGCAGTCCTTGCTCCGCTAGGGTTGATGCGAGGTGGATGGACCATCTGTTACCATCAATTATTAGCATCTATATTATGTTCCTGAAGGAAGGGGCTAAGTGTATGGAAGAGGGGGGGAGGGGGGTCATACGAAGGCATCTTCGACCTAAACTTCCCATCGATCCTCTTCATAAGCTCCTCCGAGTTCTCCGAGACCGTAGTCTCAGGATCACTCTTCACGAGGGGCCGGTTGCCTGCGTCGTCGTTGGGTTCCTCCCATTGGATGTAGCCGCCGGGCTCTATTCCACATATTAGTATCATACCCTCAAATGCTATAGGTAAAATGGGAATGGGAGTATACATACTAACAAGTCTCATCAAATTCTTAATCACGGGTCTCGGATCTCCACCCGCCTGCAATACAACCTGCACAAGAAGTCTGGCATGCACGACATCATATTTCTCCACGTATTCCTCTGGGATCTCCTCCAGAATGTTGAGATGCCGGAGGGAGATGTTAGATGGGAGGAATCCCGGGGCAGGGTATTGCTCGGAGGAGATATCGAAGCCGTGAAGTGTGGCGTTGGGGTATTGGCGGTGGAGGTCGAGGAGCCAGATTCTTTACATTGTTGTTAGAGCTTCGCTCATAGATGTAGAGGGGGGTGTAAGGGGGAGTACTGACCCAGTGCCGGTCCCTACATCGGCTATGGAAATGTCGCTGTTGCTGCTGGCGTCGGGGAATCGGATGGATGGGTGAAGGAGGTATCCGATGCTTTCTTTCCAGATGTAGTGTTGGAGGTTGAGGCGCGTGGAGGCGATGACGTCGCGGCCCAGACGGTAGGGGTCTGTTGAGCCCATTTTTACTTTGTAGTGTATGAGGTTGGTTGGTGGGTAGATAGATAGTAGGGTTGATGAGAAGTAAGAACGTGTGTTGTGTGTATGGGCTGATGATGAGATGGATGGATATGTGGCAGCGGTGGAATGATCTTAAATCACTGGCAATTCATACATCTTGACTCCATTCAAATTCAATTCGTATAGTATAGTTCGTGTATACAGTCTCTAATCCAATCAGAAGGCATACCGCATGCGGGCCTTAATTAGCTCTCCCGCCGTGGAGGGAGAGAGTAAGATACTAGGGCGCACATGGCAGTTAGCGTTGCCGCTGGTGATGCTGACATCCGCGCGAGTCTGAAACAAGTACTTCGGCATCCTGATACTCCTTCAGCATCCTGCAAGACAATACGAGGAACAGTAATAGCCAAAGGCTGATATACCGATATGGCATGACTTGATAATCATTGATGGACTGATCAGCAGTACCTCAATCACGGTATTTAAAAGTTAGAAGTAGTCCAAGAAAAACACCCATCTACTATCCCACCACAGACATCTCCATAACCCTATACAATCTACTATCCAAAACATCCAAACCAACCACACATACTCATACCTAATCAACCAACCAACCAACCAACCCTCACCATGGCAGCAAAATACCCCCTAATCGAAGGCATCGACATCCACAACCCCTCCCCAACCCACGAAGCCAACGCCGCCTTCCTACGGTCCTTCCCCATCGACCGCGCCGTTTTCCGCCTCTATGCCCGCTCCCCAGGAACCTTCCTCCCCATCATGTCCGTCCTGGACAGCATTCTCTCCGGCGAAAAGCGCACCATTCAACTCCTCGACTACCAGCTCATTGTCCTCCGCATGACTGGCCTCATCAACGCCGAGTACCTCTTCGGCATCAACGAGCCCATTTCGCGCCTTAACGGGCTTGGCGACGATAAGATCGAGGCTCTGCGCAAGGGTCTGTCCTCGAAGGAGCTAATTGCTATGGGCACGTGGACAGAGCGCCAACAGTGTATTCTGACGCTGGTGGAGGAGTCGATCCGCACGTATGACAATAACGAGGAGACGATTCTGTGGGCTAAGAGGGTTATGACGGATGATGAGGTCGTGGAGTGCTTTGTTGTACTAGGGTTCTATACCACTATTGCGAGGATGACGAAGGGGTTGAGGGTACAGAAGGATCCGGTTATTCCGCATTTGGAGACTGCGATTGTGGATACGATTACGAAGAATGAGAAGGATGGGGTGGAGGCATAGATGTTATGTTTCAATTGTTTGTAGTTGGTTGCTGGGGTAGAGATGGAGGGTGTTTGTTCTTTATGTAGTGATAATGGAGTTAATTGTGTTTACATTACAGTCTTGATCGATCGTATTTGATATGCTTTAACCACTGCAATTATAGATGGTACGTAGTGAGCTAAATATTCCCCAATACATGCATCATCCGAGCCTGCTTCGATATCCACTCATCCTCCCTAAACTCTCCTAACCCATCCACGCTCATCCCCTCTAGGGCTCGATCCCACTCCGCTTGTGTCCCTGCATCCCATAACTCGTGGTTCTCCGGCAGCGGGAACTGCAATTCATCCGCCGTTAGAAGGATGTTGCCCATCGATGCCCCATCCACCATCTGGCTCAGCGCCGTCGAGCCATAGATCGTTGTGCACACCTTATACAGTGCAATGTTAAATCGCTTTACTTCCTCAATACTGACCAGCATGTATTGAGCAATCGCAGGTTCCTGGTATTGCTGTAGGATGCGCGGATAATAAAACATGCCCCGGAGACGGCAGCTCCGAATCAGGCACTTGAGCAGCAGCTCAGTATCAGTCCTTAGTCCAGACGGCTTCAAATCTATCCCGAGAGAGCCGTGCGTTTTGTATATCAGAGAGAAAATGACATGTAATAAGATCGCCTGGTAAATCGGCAATGGCCACGACCCCGAATGGGGTATATGTACTTCATCGGGCACATCCCATCTCTCCTGCAACAGCATTAGCATTTATAACCGATTTACAGATACTTGCACTGACCTTCTGCTGCAAAATCGCCGAATTCAGCTGCTCATGCAACTCGACAGCCGCACACCGTGCGCTCCTCTCCCCACTCGCCCACAAGCCCAGCACCACCATGGACTGGACCAACATGGGAATTTCATGACGAATGCGAAACGTCCCTCGGTGCACAAACGGCCAATGAGGGTGAAACAACTCAAAGAACATTTTAACAAACTGTTCTTCTCTGGACACCGCTGGCCGCGGGCTCACGGACGCTGGTCGGGTTTCGGGCGCCGGGGAGTCCTCCGCCTCGCGGAGAGAGCAGCGAATGCCCCGATGCTGACATTCCGTGCAAACAGGCTTCCCTTCACATCGAGCCTTGATGGCTCGACAGTTGGAGCAGGCGCGTCGAGCTCGGTGGACGGGTTCATTCAACTGATGCTTCACTCGTAGATGTCGCCGCAGTGTGTCACTAACGCACGTTACTAATGACAGAACAACAAGCACGCAGGAGCCTTGCGCGCTGCAAGCTAATTTTGTGTATACTTTCGTCCGAATTCCTGACCACAGATGGAACAGGGATATGTCCGATCTTGGATATGTTTGGCCTCATGGCGACGGAGGTGCTCTTTGCGCCGGTATCGGGCATCACAGTTGGGGAAGCGACAGACGAACTCGCCCAGCGAGTCATTCCTGGTTAATTTATCCATGGCGGCTGAGGGATCGCTCACTCCACAAACCAACTATATCAAGGTGGGAGGCGTTGCGACGGGGGGATGCCCCGGACATGGTGAGTGGGAGAATAGTTAGTATAGACTGGCTGCTGTAGAGAAGCCGTGGGTTATGTAATGGCGGGTGGGATGCTCCGGCACTAAACCCTCTAAAAGCATCATTTTAACTCTTTATCTCCTAGGCTACTGCATTCGTTCTCTTTCCTATTCTGGTTGAAGGATAGCGTGAGATTTTAGTCTTTCTTGCAGACACTAGTCCAATAACAGTCATACCACTGAACGGGCTCGTTTATACAATACCAAAAGCCTGCCACCAACTGGGCCAAGCGCGCACCAAATCCTGCATGCCTTAGTCTTGCCGCACTGCTCTTATGCTCTTGAATTACACCTGCCAGCCCTTTGTTTTCGACGAATCACGCTTGAACCCAAAGCTGAGACTTCCCTCTAAAGCTCCCTTTCCACCGGGCTGGGCGACTTCGGTGATGTCCGAGCTCGTCTCATCCACAGTTCTCTCCGACGTTGACTCGCACCGGTTGCGACCTAGACGCTGACCTTTGGACTTTCTAATGCCATACCCCGGGCCCCCAATGTTCCCCAGATCAATTCGCCTGCTGTCTCGCATGCCAAAGTAGAGACCAGCAACAACGAGTATGACCACGCTGAGACTCACTGGGAGGCCAATATACAGGCCCAACTTGTTGAAGGAAATCGGTCGAGGAGACAAGCGATGCTGCACTGGCTTGGGGTGAAGAACAACGGTTGGACCCCGTCGGGCACTTGCCCGCTTATCTGACACCGAGTCCAGCTCGATGATGTAAAGCGTCAGAGGGTTCTGCTGCTTTCCTTGAAGCCATTCTTGCTGCATATGGATGTGAGTATATCCGTAGCTGTTGTCCGTCTTGTCAGAGGTAAATGTCGAATCCCCTTCCAGGGAGTCCGCATATCTCAGTTCGATGGTGATTGTGGCATTCAGAGGATAAAAGTCCGCGTCCCAGGTGATGTAGTAAGTCCCACCCACTGTCACATTTGCACCATTCTCTGGGAGACAGAATGGTCGGGCAGCGCCATGAGGGTCCCTACAGATGGGGAAATCAACCGGTGTGGGGGAAGATCGTCGGATCGCCATGGTTGTGTTTGGGGGAGGCTCAATCCTCTCCGTCATCGCTAAACGAGTAAGCCATGTTAGACCATTGCCCTTTTGAGACAAGATACCTTTGGAGTGGACAATAGCCCCATTCTTTCCGGCGACGATGTAGATGGCCTCACCGAATGAGAAACAAGCCATGGCTGCTAGGACTAGTAAACAGGCCCCAGCTTTCTTCCAGGATTGTATCATACTTGACAACGAAGGCGGAAGCTCGATTGAGGATATATTGGTTTGGTACAATATGGATGCAGTAAACTATTGAAGTATTGCATCTAGCGATGAGTTGCATAGAGCTACATCTGTCAGTCGCTGCCACACTGCATCTGCCACATTGCTACTAACAGATGCAAATAAGTGATACTGAGGAAGGTGCCATGATGGCAGAGAGTGCAGCTCATGGAAACAGCGAGAGCATCTCAGCATGATCGAGCAACACAGCTGTCATCACAACAGCATGCTGTGCCTGTCATACTCAATAAGCATCCATATTTGCTTTTTTTTTTCTCTGCTCGTTAATTCTCCTAGATCACCGTTGATATCACCCTATCTCCATATGGAGATTATTTGTTGTGGTTGCACATCGCATTGTCAGTGAAGCTGTCCGGATGCTACATAGCTCCACGGATCCACTGAATTGCCGCGTGTCAACATGTCAACAATGCCATAGTAAAGAGACTCGGGACATATAAGACATGCACCACCTAATTAGTAGACAAAATAGTTGTATGGTATCTGCACTCAATCTTCGCAGAACCCCAGCGCAATCGAATCTGTCAAGCTAAAGTGTTCCAGAAGGCGGAATCCCCGCTTCCGCGGCGGTTGGATCCTCGGGCGGCCATTTAGAGTTAGGCCACCTGTCGCCGACGCTTACATCTCTCGCCGTTTCACTCGACCTTCAACATCCCCAAGTGCCTGTCTTCCCCAGCTGCCTGCTGTCCCGTACTTTGGCTTTTGAATTCTTTTTCTTTCCAAAGTGCGCCCGTCCCTTCAATAACAGCTCAGGTTGGTTTTCTCTTCCACCCATCCCTTGGATGTGATAGATTCCCTCGACCCCCCTATACTGACCACGCGTCATCAACTGATTCAGCATCATGCGCTTCACCCCGGTCGTCGCCCTCCTCCCAGCGCTCGCTGTGGCTCAGGAGCAGGTTCCCCTTGCGGACCGTGTCCAGGGCTGGTTCAACAAGGCCAAGTCCTACTTGCCTACTGCCACCCCGGTCGCCCCCGCCGCTGCCGTTGTTGAGAAGGTCGTCGAGAAGACCAAGATCCAGGAGAAGACCGTCTCCGAGTTCAACTTGACCAACTGGCAGTCCTACCTGGAGCCCGCTTCGGAGCCCCAGGACTGGTTGGTCTACATCACCGGAGGAAACAAGACTTGCTTCGGTCGCTGTGACAAGGCAGACAAAGCGTTCAATGTAAGCAAGCCCTAGAAAAAGGGGGCGCACCCACTCAATTTCATAACAATAGTCGCTAATAATCCTCCTATTTAGGAATCCGTGCTTTTGTTCTCCGCCGATCCCACCTCTCCTAACCTCGGTAAGCTGGACTGCGAAGAGAACAAGGTTCTTTGCTCTGCTTGGGGTGCCGGTGCTCCTTCGGTCTGGTTCCTCCAGGTGCCCCAGGCCCAGCTTGGTGAGGAGCGCCCCAACACTCCCCTCCATACTGTCTACCTGAACTCGACCACCGTGACCCCGGAGACCATCTACAAGGTCCACTCTGAGAAGGTCTGGGAGAAGGCCCCTGCCTACGACGGTCCTCTTCACCCCACGGACGGCTGGCTCGCTCAGAACAACCTTCTGCTCCCTCTTGGATATGTCATCTACGGCTTCAGTGCCATCCCCAGCTGGCTTTTCATGATCGGCATCAGCTTCTTCAGCCGTACCTTCATGTAAGTTGTCTTGCTCTGATCGCATTCTTTCTGTTTGCGATCCGCTACTAATGTGTCACAGGAGCCGTCGCCTTGGAAACGTCGGCGGCGCGCCCGCTCCTCGTCCGAACTAGACGTGCTGCTAAGGGAAGATAGCAGTTCTTTTAGAATGATTGGGATGTGTATATAATGAAGCAGAGCGCCTGTCAAATTGGATTGCGGTGTTTGGGTTGATGCCTCCTAACAGTTGTAATACAGTAAGCAGACCAACATTCTAGAACAATTTATTTTCCACAATATTTCATGCATATCAGTACGTAATCAACAACCCCAATAGACCTAGTATAGACATAGCTAGCTCCCAACTAACCTCTTAACAATCAATCGTAGTAGAAACCAACCACCCGGCCCGCTAACGTCACCGCCGACGAAGCAACATCCAGCTCCGCTCCGCAAAACCACCACTCAATCCCTCTACCAAACCACACCTTCCACACCCACCCCCAAGAGAACAATCAATCCCAAAATGTCCGACCTCGACCGCACCACCCCCTCCACAGCCGCCTACGTGGTCGCGACCGCCATCCTCGCCGGTATAACCGGCTACTTCATCGGCCAAGGCAGCAGCCTCGGTCTCTTCAGCAACAAAGAAAAAGAAGGCTGGCCGAACAGCTACAACGTGAAACCGCACCTGGACTCGTCGGACGAAGACTACGAATCCGAAGAAGAAGAGGACAGTGAAGAAGAAGGCGACGGCACGGAGCTCGCCAACTTCGATAGCTCCAATGAAGAAGTGAAGTTGGTGCTTGTCGTGAGGACGGATTTGGGTATGACGAAGGGTAAGCATATCCCGGTCCCCAGTTTTACCATCTTATATCTACGTCTCTGGCTATGGATATGGATATTGTTATTATGTTGGTAGGCGCATGCTAATATTTTGTTACTGTTGCAGGCAAAATCGCCGCCCAATGCTCGCACGCTACCCTCGCATGCTACAAGTACCTGACAGCGTACACGCCGAACAGCGGCATCCTGCGCCGGTGGGAATCACAAGGTCAGGCGAAGATCGCGCTGCAGGTCAAGTCGGAGGAGGAGATGGAGGAGATGCAGGCTAAGGCGATCAGTCTGGGACTTTGCGCCAGGGTGATTACGGATGCTGGACGGACGCAGATTGCGAGTGGGAGCCGCACGGTGTTGGGAGTTTTGGGTCCCAAGAGTGTGGTGGATTCGGTGACGGGGCATTTGAAGTTGTTGTAAACTTTTTTTTTTCTTACTCCGTATCTATATCGATCGAAGTTCGGTTTGGGAGGGTGTTATGGGTGTAGCAGTGAAAAAGATCATGCGGGATTGTTGGGTCGGTGTGTTGAGATATCATATTATATGGCGTTTTGGAGAAGGCTCTCGCGATGCGATGTGCTTCATCCTTCGGCTCAGCATTATGGCATAATTTATTCGAGTAGCATGTCGAGCATGCCACATCGTCCATTCTTGATAGACGCTAGCCAACTTATTGTTCGGTTCAAATGGTATCCCAAGCATACTCAGTATGCGCGCAGCTTTACATCTTTACAACTACATACATAAATTATAATGATAGTAATGTTGGCAGGTCATGGTTATTCCCTAACCTCAGTGACCGACGGCCAATTCGGCAAAGGGAGTAGGAATATGACGCCGTCAGCAACCAGGTTCTCCAGCCGAGCTCACCAAGATGGGAGCTCAAGACCAGAGTGAACACCCAGCGCCAACCTTTAATCTGAGATCTGTCGACCGGAAGTGCAAAAACCATCCACAAGATGAATGGCTCCTTAAGTCGTCGAACTGTCCAGCGTTCAACCGAAACACAGAGAAATAAACAGCCGAAACTGCCACCCTCCATGAACGGGATCGCTGAACACAGATCCGTGTTTGTTCATGTTCTGAAGAAAAGAAAGAAAAAGAAGAAGAAGAGAAAAAATCGACGAAGCCGCCTTTTATCCGCTGCGCCAAGCTCGCGCTAAGAGTTTGTCGCGCTAAACCTTACCGAGATGGGTGCTGATTAGGTAAGTGCTTGTTGCCGCGCGCTGGTCGGTCGGTCGGTCAGGTCAGGTCAGGTTCGCCGCTGCGGCGGGTTGAATATCTCATCTCATATCCGTGACTTCAACTTCACTTTCATCAGTTGAAAACGATACCTCACCACCTACCCACCGACCGTCCGTATCTATCTCCATTCTTCCTCTGCATTTGTCGCCACCATGGCCGACGCAGTTTCCATCGAGCAGAACAACAAAATCCGAGCCGCGCTCGGATTAAAACCCCTGCCTGTTCCTGGCGCCGAATATGAAGACGACTCCGACGACTCGTCCGGCTCCGAAGATGAAGACCCCGCCAGTACCCTCGAGTCGCGCGAAGCGATGGCTGGATCCAACTGGAAGAAGATGCAGGATGATGCCGAGGCGAAACGGAAACGGGAAGAGAGAAACGCTGCGATCAAGCGGGCACGAGAGCTGGCGCAGAGAGATGCCAAGTTACAAGGCACCACGCTGGGTGAATCGGGCGATGCGGACCAGGATACCAAGGCGTGGCTGATGCAGGCGAAGAAGCGACAGAAGAAGATCGAGAAGGAGCGGGCGCGCAAGCTGGCGGAGGAGCTGGAGGAACGGGAACGTGCGGCGGAATACACGGCGGTCGATCTGGCTGGCATTAAGGTTGGGCATGAGGTGGGCGACTTTGAAGGGGGTGAGGATCATATTCTTACGCTGAAGGATGCGACGATCGATGAGAACGAGGAGGAGGGGGATGAGTTGGAAAATGTTGATTTGAGGGAGAGGGAGAAGGCTACGGAGCGGACAGAGTTGAAGAAACGGAAGCCGGCGTATGATCCTACGGAAGAGAACTCGAGTATCCTGGCACAATATGATGAGGAGATTGATGGTAAGAAGCGGAAACGCTTTACTCTGGATGCTCAAGGGTCTACGGTGGAGGAGCGGGAGGCAAAGAGACAGGAGGTGTCGGGCAAATTGAACAAGAATATCGTCAGTTTGGATCTGGAGACGGAGACGACGACACCGGCGTCCGACTACATGGATATCAGCGAGATCAAGATCAAGAAGCCCAAGAAGAAGAAGGCGAAGGCTACGAAACAGAGAGCTGTTATTGATGACGACGAACTATTCCCTACGACCGAGTCGACGAGTACCCCGAATGACAACGCCATGGAGGTTGATACTAATAACGGAACACCCGTTCCCGCGCCCGCCCCCAAGAAGTGGGCAAGTGAGGATGTCTCGTTTGTCGATGATGATGATTTACAGGCCTCGCTTACCCGCCAGAGACGTGCTGCGTTTAAGAAGCGACAAAAAGTGCGACCGGAGGATCTTGCTCGACAGCTCAGAGAAGAGGGTTCTCAGACACCGATGGAAACAGGCACGCCCGATGGGAACGAAGAAGAGCCCGGCCTCGTGATCGACGAAACCTCGGAGTTTGTCTCCAACCTACAGAAACCTACCCTTCCAGAGCGCCGCGAGAGACAAACCACGACGCCCGCCGAGGAGTCACGTGCTAAGAGTGAAGGCCCCAGCATCAAGGCAGAGGACGAGGATGTGGAAATGGGGACCTACAATGATATCGAGGACGAGGAAGATCTCAAAGAACGGGTCAAGCGCGAGGAGTCGCAGGCCCAGCAACAGATCAGTACTACAGGTTTGGACGAGGAAGCGACTTTGGATCAAGGTCTCGGCGCTACGTTGAACATGCTCAAACAGCGTGGTCTGGTCAAGGGATCCGACGCCGCAGACAACAATTCTCTACTGCGCGACCGCCATCGCTTCCTGCAGGAGAAGATGCGCATGGAGACCGACGCGGAGAAACGCGCTCGGCAGCAGCGTGAACGCGACCGCGCCTCAGGCAAGCTGGACCGGATGTCAGCGCGCGAGAGAGAAGAATACGCTCGGTGGGAGAACAAGCAGCGCGATCAGCAGGAGGCGCGACACATGGCAGAGGTGTTCAACCGCGAATACAAGCCGGACGTGCAGCTCAAGTACGTGGATGAGCACGGTCGCGCGATGAACCAGAAGGAGGCATTCAAGCACCTCAGTCATCAATTCCACGGCAAGGGCAGTGGTAAGATGAAGACAGAGAAGCGGTTGAAGAAGATCGAAGAAGAGAAGAAGCGCGAGGCGATGAGTGCGCTGGACAGCAGTCAACACACGGGTATGAACAACGCCATGGGAGCGACAGCGCGCAAGAACCGCCAGGCCGGTGTGCGACTTGGCTGAGAGTGGTGTTGCTTCTCTCGGGTTGTTGTAGCAGATGATGACCTTCACCGAACGACCTCTATTCAGGAGGCACATTAATGATCCTCAGCAGATATTTTTCTAGGCTATGCGATGTTTGTACAGATTATACCAATAGAACGTCACATATTATTCTATCTATATCCAATAGACCGACCCGTTTTTGGGGTGAAGATAAAGCAAGCAAGCCAGCAGCACGCGGTTTTGTCCGATGATGGATGGATAGAGAGGTAAGATGGACTCGGTGCTCCGAAGACACTGCAGGACGTCCTCAATACTCCGTCGATGGTGTAGCAGAGCTATTGAATCGGGATAGGCTTGGCGTGTGGGGGAATTTAACCGAGGCCGAGTGATATTGTCCGAGGCGGTGGAGTGCAAGCAACCATGGTTGTGTGGGTAGCTATTCAAGATTTTGTGGTAAAGCTACCAAAATCGAGAAAAGTGAGACTGTAGTTAGCAGAAGGGAATGGAGTCAATGCTGCAGATTTATATAGTCGATGGTGTGATGGTGGTGGTTAAAGGTAAGTGGTAGAAGGACGATTGTCTCCGATTGAACAGATAGTAATTACCCCAACTCCTCGTGAGGGGAAGACCAACCTCAGCCCATCCATGATTTTCCCTCGATACTAAAACAGTTCACCGGGGCGAGCGGGACGGGCTCATCATTTGTGGTGCGATCTGTCAAGGAGGGAGTCCACGCTCTCCGTGATGATGATGACATTGACAACTCAATCAGTGGTGTTCATTGTTGTGTCGGATAGTAATCAATCAGTTAGTAGAAGTAGACAATTGCATTCAGATGTCATTGATGAAATAGACATACTCCATTCATGCTACTCCGTACATCCGAAGAATATGTGCAGCGTGCTTGCTTTCTGCAGCTGCCAGGTCAATAATGTTCCATGCAAACCAGCCAAACAAGCAACCAAGTCAGCTGCTGGCGATGCGGAGGACGTGGCCAATCCGAGGCCTCCCGCGTCTCTCCCCGGAAACTCCCTACTGTGCTAACCAGACTAGTCCCAAGTCAGTTTCCAGTGACTCAAAAAATAAAATAACTATCGCCGACCTCGTCTCTCTCCCGCTTGTCTCCTCCCCCGATTCCAGCCTTCCATTCAAGTACTGCTTGCCAGCTCCTTGGACCCCCCCGTCCTTTTCTTCCTGATCATCTCCTCCCTGGTCTTCTGGAGTGCTTGCTCATTTTCTCCTTTTCTTTCCTCTCTTCTCCTATTCAATCCTCCTCCATTCACCATGTTGTCCACCCTCAGAATCGCCAGCCGTAAGGCTGCTACCCGTGACGCTAGTGTGCGCACCGTTATTGTCGGCGCCAGACACGCCTCCGCCTGGTCCAACGTGCCTCAGGGTCCTCCCGTAAGATCTCCAACACATCCCAATCGCTGCTGTGATGCCATTGCTGACCCATTGGCTCTGTAGGATGCTATCCTGGGTATCACCGAGGCCTACAAGGCCGACACCTTCCAGGAGAAGATCAACCTGGGTGTCGGTGCTTACCGTAAGCATCACCCTGTTTCAGTTTATCTATCCAACTATACCATCTCTCGATCACGCCAAACAACCAACTTCCAACGTTCAGTAGTCTGACAATTCATTGCGATCAAACAGGTGATGACAAGGGCAAGCCCTACGTCCTCCCCTCCGTCCGTGCTGCGGAGGACAAGGTTGTCGCCTCCGGCTACGACAAGGAATACGCTGGTATCACCGGTATCCCTGCCTTCACCAAGGCTGCTGCTGAGCTGGCCTACGGTTCCGACTCCGCCGTCCTCAAGGAGGACCGTCTCGTCATCACCCAGACCATCTCCGGTACCGGTGCTCTGAGAATCGGTGGTGCTTTCCTGCAGCGCTTCTACCCTCACGCGAAGAAGGTCTACCTTCCCACCCCCAGCTGGGCCAACCACGCCGCTGTCTTCAAGGACTCCGGTCTGGAGGTCGGACAGTACCGCTACTACAACAAGGACACCATTGGCCTCGACTTCGAGGGCCTGCTGGCCGACATCAAGGCTGCTCCCGAGAACAGCATCATCCTTCTCCACGCCTGCGCTCACAACCCCACCGGTGTCGACCCCACCCAGGACCAATGGCGCCAGATCAGCGACGTCATGAAGCAGAAGGGTCACTTTGCCTTCTTCGACATGGCCTACCAGGGCTTTGCCAGCGGTAACGCTGACCAGGATGCCTTTGCTCCCCGTCACTTCGTGAAGGAGGGCCACAACATTGCTCTCTGCCAGAGTTTCGCCAAGAACATGGTAAGACAGACGCTGGATTGGTATGTGGTGAATACTAAGCGGATATAGGGTCTGTACGGCGAGCGTGTCGGTGCCTTCTCTCTCGTCTGCGAGTCCGCCGAGGAGAAGAAGCGTGTGGATTCTCAGATCAAGATCCTCATCCGTCCCTTCTACTCCAACCCTCCCATCCACGGTGCCCGCATCGCCTCGACCATCATGAACGACGCCAAGCTCAACGAGCAGTGGCTGGGTGAGGTCAAGGGCATGGCCGACCGCATCATTGAGATGCGCGCTCTCCTCCGCAAGAACCTGGAGGAGCTTGGCAGCAAGCACGACTGGTCTCACATCACCAGCCAGGTAGGATCCGAAACCATGATTGATATGAGTAATTACTGACATGCGACAGATCGGCATGTTCGCCTACACTGGTCTCAAGCCCGAGCAGATGGACGCTCTGGCCAAGGAGGTAAGCAGCCTTCAATCCGTGTATCTCTTCTTCACACTAATCCGTCCAGCACTCCGTCTACGCCACCAAGGACGGCCGTATCTCCGTGGCCGGTATCACCAGCGGCAACGTCAAGCGTCTCGCCGAGTCCATCTACAAGATCACCGGTTAAATGAGCAGCCAGGGAGGGGACCATTTGCTCATAAAAAACGTAGATCAGGGATTGGTGTCCCGTTGTACTGATATCCATGTGTGACATTAGCATATCTAAGTATCTAAGCAAGTTTCAACGATTTGGATGACATTATTGCTGTCCAGCACGACTCGTAATCATTGCAATTGACTTTCACTCAACGATGCTAAGTACTTTAGGCCTAGACCATCCACATCCATTGCATCCGGACCCTCCGAAACCACAGGTCACATAGTACCGAGCCGGCAGGCAAACCCACATACATACATACATACTTTCCCGCACAGGATCTGTCGCCACACCAACGCACCGCACGAGTCGGGCGAGACATGTAGCGGTGTAGATAGTAGATAGCCCAGATCAGATCTTGCTGTGCTTCCCAGCCACCACGAGTGAAGCAAGCAGGAAAGGTACTAACTATTGTGTGAGTTGGCCTCCTTTCATGCGAGCCATAGAAGAAAAAAGATTCGATCTATCAGGAGTATGATGCCAATTTGGTATAGAGGCATGAAATTGTCGCGTTACTGCTACATACTTACATTACAGCAGATTGAAATTTATTCCATGAGGCTGGGAGGGGATTGGATTGGATTGTACCTTGTAACAAATACTAGCTACTAGTTAGTACAGTGTAGAGTGATAACTAACTGAGTAAGAAAATAGCCCCTGAGTCATATATCATATCATATCGTATCATATAAGGCACCTTCCTTCGGGCACAGTCATCCGAGATCAGTAGACTAAGTCAGTTATGTATGGGTAGATTGCCTGGTTTTCTGCAATCTTTTGGATCTGGAGATCTCTTTCTCGTATGATTCATCAGTGTTTGCCTTGATAATAATTATAGTAACCCCTAATCATCTATACTGTATCTTTCATTATTCTTCCTCATAAGGTACTCCATACGTATGTATGTATCTTGGGTATGGGTGATTGAAGTGAAGTGGGCCCCGGGTTACCGGTCTTTATACTATATCGATCGTTAGTTTCCCTCTCTCTCTCCACTCCGAGTTAACTTAACTCCTGGGGGATGTGGGATGATGATGATTGCTACGGTAACTGTTCTTTTTTCTTTTGGCTTACTTTGTTTTGATTGGGATTATTGTTCTGGTAGATTATATATTGTAAAATAACCTGGTTGAATGAATCTCTCCATTCCATTATAATTAGCTACTTGTTGGTTACTAATTACTATGTAAAATTTATTCTGAAAGAACTAGACATACTAATCGTACATACAGTGTAGGTAGAAGTAATACCAGCTTAGCGCGGCTGTATCGCTTATTGCTTCACAATTGATGACTCTACTTTCTTTTTTCTGTGGTTTTCTACAGTAGTACCTCCGTAAGTGATTGTTTGCTTCATTGCTTGTTTGTGGCGGTGATGGTAAGGAATGACACTAACTAACTAGCCCAGTAATAATAATTTACCCTAGTACTCTTTACATAGTAGTTAGGTACGTATGAATGAAAGCCCTGCCAGGCTGAGTACACTGCTCAGCCTCATTTTCGTGCCCTTCTTTACTTAGGTAGGTAGAGGTGTGGCTATGTAAGACATTGCAGATCTATTCTTCTATTAACTATCTACAGTCTGCATTTTCGAGTTGCTAACTAACTAACTAGCTAACTAAATAACTAATTATGGGGTAAATTGCACTGCACTGCACTGCAGTTTAGCTCTTCTTCAATACTACTACCACTGCAGTACCCCGGCTATACTACTTATTTATTTATAGAACATTTATTCAGGCTACTCCAGTTCGCTAATAACAGTTCCGTCTCACGGCCTCCCACCCCCTAAAATAGAATGATAACAGTAAGGATCACCAATGTTCATCAATCGGCTATCCCGGTAAGAGTCATCCGGATCAACGAACGCATATAGAGCGGTTTGAATTATGGAGTAGGGAAGAGGGGATGGGATGGCAGGATTCTATTTTCAATGTATGTATGAGGGGGTGTGATGATGATGATGATGATGATGATGATGAGACAGGGGTAAAGCAGACCAGGAGGGTCCTGGCACGTTTCAGCTGGATCACTAGTAGTTGTCTACTTTTAACTATGTATGGTTGGTTGGTTAGCTGACTCGAGAGAGCTTGGGCATTGGGAGGGTTTGTTTCACTGCAGATGACTACAGAATAGAGGAGAAGGAAGGACATCGATAGGTACAGTTGCTGATTATGTTACTTGGGTAGATAAGTAAGCTAAACTTTGTATCTAGGGGATAGGGGTA